TATATATATATATGCAGAATTTTTTATTTTACCAATTTTGAAAAAAACTTTCAATTAATCTTTTAATTTATTTATTTTACCTTTCTCGGATTCTCCTTTTACTTGTCCTTTTTTGATCACATCCTTGTATTGTCAGCTGAGTTCGTTTCGGTGCGTTCAGTTCGTTTGGAGTGCTGCTTGTTAGTATAGCGGTTAGTGTCCCCACCTGTTACGCAGGAACCCTGTTAAACCGGGGTTCTAATTTATTATGCCATATGGCGATCATTATGCCTACATGAGCTCCCTGGTTCAAGCCCCGGAGGCATCTCTTACTTACTGCCCCCTGTGGCAGTTTCTGGGTTGAAAACACTCGCTCTGGATTTTCCTGTATAGGACGAACAAGCGACTAAAATTGAATTAATTTACTTGTCCTACAGATAGAACATCAGTATTTCGTGGCATGTATCAGAAAAAGAAAAGAAAAAAACACACACACAGCCATTAAGCATTATAAGATAAAATAATTTATTTTGAGAAAAGCAAAAGTACAGTTAAGACAGCTTCATAAAGACAAAGAATACGCACTCTTTTCGGGTTTTAGTATAAAGTATAAAATAATAAATACGAACAGAGCACACGTAAACTGGTGTAGTGATACTAGGGCTGCGTACTGAGCCCCCTCCTATTCACCCCGCTCACACACGACTGCACAGCACTGCACCGAGCTGTCTGATTGTGAAGTTCGCGGATGATACAGCCGTGGTCGGACGCATCACAGCCAACGATGAGTCCAAGGCAGGAGGTAGAACATCTGGAGGGTTGGTGTAGAGAAAACAACTTCTGCATCAACGTGAAGAAGACCAAGGAGATGATCATCGACTTCAGAAAGGGGAGACACCTCCCCCCTCCCCTGCACATTGGAGGGACAGCGGTGGAGGTGGTCTCCAGCTTCAGGTACCTGGGAGTACACATCTCCGATGACCACACCTGGAGAACCAACACTTCCTGTCTGGTCAGGAAAGCACATCAGCGCCTCTACTTCCTCGCCCCCCGCCCCCCTTTCCACAACCACCCCACAACAGAAAATATGTGGTGGCCTGCACATTGTCTCACAACTACTGTTCCCACATATGTTGCTCTTGTTGCCCTGACAAGTGTTGTTGTTCTTGTTCTTGTCTTTCACTCTTGCACAATCGTCGCTTTCTCTTCTTTGCTGCACTATGCAGAACTCCTCCCCCCTGTCACTTGTACTCGATCCGGGACAAGGGAGACTAATTTCGTTCATCCCATGTCTAACATGTGTTGCAATGACAATAAAGAACCTTGAGTCCTCCTAGATTTATTAGTCTGGTGGAGAAGAACAGTCACCGGCAGATGGTGCCATTCACGACCTTAAAAAACAACAACAACGTGTGTTCTGCATTTTTTGAGGACCAGGTCCAAGTCGTTAACAGGTTACCAACATGTATCAATAATTCACAACCGTTATTTCTCTTAACGTTATTTCTCGAAAACTTAATAATCCAGAAACCAAACTATCAATGGCAGTTTGTGTATTTGTTTTGTAAGCCATGCTATTTATACTGGCACGTGATGCATAAAAATCTTGGATGTCTAATGCTCTAAAACACCCCATAAAACCACAACGAAATAAAACATCAAACGAACTTCTTAAAAGACCAAACATAGAATTCCATCTTAATTATTTTTCTAATAATACAATCCTACAAAATAAACTCTGTTACTTATACTTTAAGTACTTACTTTAACTACTTACTTAGTTTTTGTCTATTTCTCTAATGCGGTGATTTAATTCTTCGTTACATGGTTTATTTCATATTATTAAATTTAATCTATAACTAAAAAAACAAAAACAAATAATTGACTGCGTTGATTAAAATGTCCTGCAGAATCTAGAGGTCGACAATCCAGTCGGTGGTCCACGGACAGGAGGCGTTAACGTCGAGTCACATGATAATAATAATAATAATACATTTTATTTCATAGGCGCCTTTCTGTCACCCAAGGACACCTTACAGTGAATACAAAGATAACAACACAGCAATAAAAAACAATACAACATTAAAACATTCAGAACAAGTTAAAATACAACAATGGAATATCAGACGGTGAAGGCAATTTTAACGTACGTGTAGACTTGAATTGTGGGAGTGAATTGATATTCCTCAAGACCCGGGCTGCCGCCGAGCTGTGATCCTGTTCATCCTCCTCTTATGTAATGATCATCTCGCCATGTGATCGTGCTCTCACCGGTAGCTGTTTCATTGTCTTTCAGTCTTCAGTAACAACTTTACACATGTCTAGAAAATACAATTCTGTTCCCCCCCCAATTCGGTTAAAGGGTGTCTTAATCTATACCTCTGAAAGTTTAAATTACGAGACTTAAAGTTAAACACATATCCAACATAATTACGACTGAACATAGTGTGACTTAAAAAAACTGTTATTAACAATATTAACAGATAACTTTTAGATAAATTGTCACTATTATTATAAGTATATATTCTACAAACATCATCCACATAAACATTGTGACTATCTGAATCAGCTAAACAACGGTTAATTGTAAATTTATTTTACATTTATATTTTGGACAAACCAACAGAAGAGGTTGGCATAAAGTGATTTCAAATGCGTTGCAGTTTTAGATATTTGCTACAATGAAATACATTCAGAGCTTTGCATTTTCAGTACTTCAAACGTCAATTAAAATTTACTATTCAGCTGTGGTAAATGTCAGTAATAAATAAATCAATAAGTATATACATACAGTACGTCCATACAAGTGTACTGAAAATGTCCTCTAAAAAGGACCAATCAGACAAAAGTGAGAGGGCGGAACCAAGCAAGTTAGGTTGTCACTTGTCACTGTCTGTGGGTAAATAACAAATAAGCACCATAACCACCCACATTTATCTGTTATCTGTCCTGGCTGACTCTACTCACAAAAGCAGAGTGACGCAAGTGTGCCGGGAGGCCAACGAGGGGCTGGCCTCAGGATTTTTCACAAACAACGGAGAGTCCACACCTACCATGCCCGGGCTGCTGCTCTAATAGCCCGGGCTTCTGCTATCACAGCCCGGGACACCTGTGCTTTTATTAGCCTGGACTTCTGTCTGCTTGGACAACAACAGTGTGGTTAACCAGGGCTCCCATAGTTCTGTCGTTTTTTTACGTTGACGTTACCCAGGAGCTCATGCTTTCTCACAGGCGTGTGCTCTTTTAGCCAGGGTTTGTCTCAGAGAGGAGCAGCTGTAGCTCTTAGCATTAGCAATTATCTCTCGCGGCTAACTGGCGGACTAACCAACTGTTGTCGCAGTGAAACGTCAACCAAGGGGCTTCTATTTGAGATTTTTTGCCGAGGATTCTGCAACGTCTTTATATTCAGGGGGATTTACAAACACGAAGGTTTCTGTGCCACTGTGCTTACCGCTGGTCCTCTCCATCCCTGTCGAAGCTTCCGAGGTTAGCAGCGGCTGTAGCCCTGATGTGTGACAGTTAACGACCATCCTCACGCCTCGGTTTCTAGCTTCGGTGAGTAAAAGGCTGTTTTTGTGACGATCATAGTTTTTACTAAAATGCATACATAATTACATAATTATATATATGTTTATATAATATAACTCATCTTTAAAAAATATAAACAATGTTCTAATATTACAAAAGGGAGGAAGTAAGTAGGACGTACAGATTTAAAAGTAAAATTTGTAGTGACAAAATGTATAAAACGATTTTATTACACGCATGAAGCGACAGTCTGTTGTGTTAATATAAGGTTTGAGAATTGTTGACCAGTTTCTTTCATTTGATACGAGTAAATAAACAACTGGGTTATTTGAAAAGGTAGCTGCAAGGTGAATTGATTATGGAAACAGTAATTGCTGTGCTAACATTCCATCATGCAAATACTGTTTATACAGTGGTGCAACTGAAATGGTAAACTGAACTTTTACTGCAGAATTATGTCATACAGTTTTCATGAATAACAACAATGTTTTTGTTTACAGTGAAGGCTTGTGTTGACTTAGCAGTGGAAGTGATGTGTAGATTATGCAAATTAGTGGTGTGTGAAGTAAACAGGGTGTGGGCTTGTTATTCAGCCTTCTGATTTATTGGAGACCTGGCCACGCTTGTTCACTTTGTGAGACTGGTATATGCCATATTGGAAAATAGTGGCTTGAGCACTCATCTCAAGACATGATATAGGGAAAATATTGGTGGTAAAATTCCAATTTATTATGTTAAGAAACAAAATATACAGAAACATTTTTTGTGTATAAACATTTCTAAAACTTTATATACTCTTTATAGAGCCATAACCATTGTGGTATTACAAGTAGATATTGTAAACAAGAACCATTTGGCTCCTTAATAATGGTCTCTGCTGCTCACTAAACATGTCAGTGAAGAGATAATGCTGGTTCCTCAAAAAGGAAAAAATAAGGAAAAATAAGGACACCTGCTCAAACAACTATAATTTTTATTGAACATATGAGCCTGTAAATGTCTTCTATGCTTCTGCACAACTTGTTATAAACACATTTACTTCTGCCATCAATCAACAGGCCGCAACAAGAGCAGCAGAGTGGAGCATGCAGGCGGAGGAACCAGCTAAGATAAGAAGATAGGAGTGGACACCAGAGAGAGGACATCAAGTTGAACTGGACTGTGTTGTTGCATTAAACAAACAAGTTCACATTTACTTGTGGATAAATAAAAAGGAATTGGAACAATGAAGAAGTTTTCCAGAATGCCAAAGTCTGAAAGTGGTGGACTCAGTGGGACGTCCAGCTCCGGAGTCAACAGCTATCTGGGAAAAGTGTTTGCAGTGGGTCGCTACCAAGTCACTGTAGAGGAGCTCATAGCAGAAGGTAGGAATTCGATCTTGTATCTTAATAAAACATTCTAAATTATAAAACATTTTATGGTTTTCTTCACTCCGCTGTACAGAAAGAAAAAAACGTTATCAGTTAATATCGCTAAATACCACATGCATTACCAAGCAATGGATTTGACCAAATAGTTGTAGAAAGTTGAAAACTTTCTTCTTCTAGTTCCATTCTAAGTAATGATTTTTCATGACACTTTAGTCCTGTCTGCGATTTTCCTTTTGGTGTTGGTAACTTAGGTATTTCTGTCCCCAAACATCTGCTAGGATCTTCAGAGTGGGTAGGATAAATCACTGTTTTCATTTTTTTCAACCGTTTTGGCTCAAACAAATTTAAGAGATTTCTTATGACTAGAAGTTAAACCTATAACTTTTGTCTGCAGAGCTGTAAATTCGTTAATGTCCTGTTCCAACCACTGCTGCATTTATGTGTGTGTGCGCACATGTGTATCAGTGTGTGTGCTGTGTCAACACAATTTATCTAAAGTAAAGAAGTAAAACACTTTGTTCAGCTTGTTCATGCAAGTTATTTTCTTCTTCTTTATAAAGAGTACTTTCTTGGTAAAAAAGTTTTTTTCTCCTAACTTGATTTGATATTTACACACACTCTTGTATTATCATGTAACTAGCATTATTTATCTACATACTTTTCCAATGGTGAAAAGTTGTTGTACCGCGGTTGTGCGTGTTTGTTTGCAATGTGCATTGTTTGTTACATAGAAACATAGTACTTTATTTTTACAAAACAGTGATTAGAAATAAACGAAACTAACAAATGAATGAGGAAGTAGGCACATTTCACAAAACAGATGATCCATTACAAAAGGTTCAGTGCACAAATCATGTTCATGTGTATAAAAAGAGAACAAGAAAAATCGTATTATTCTATGGGTTATCCCCTTTGCTTTCCCTTTCATCCCCACCGCTGGTTAGCTGTCAGGCTATTTTGTTGTTGAGGAAGTCAGTTTTTATGGTTGTCAGGTGTTACTTATGAGACCTACTAGAACATTCACAATCAAGTTTGCCATTTAGTGCTGTTTATGTGCACACACACACACACAATACATACACACAATGATGTGTAGGTTTTTGGCGTTTGCTTGACAGACCATCTTGCCAGGACTGGTATTTGCCCTGGTTGCTAGTAATTTTAAAAAAAAGTGAAAATGCACTTAGAACCTTTCAAATTACTGATGCAAAGAGTTTAAAGTTCAAACCATAAAATATAGATGATAAGTCATGACTTGACTCTTCCAGTCAGTTCATGGCGTTCCCCAGAAACTCGTGTCCTTCTTCTCTATTTAATGGTTAAGCAACAGCTGTGTCACCTAAATGAAAATCATGAGTTTCCCTTAAAGCTAAAAAGGAAACTATGGTTCCTTGCAAAAACACAAGATCTGAACTGAAAAAAATATTATCCTTTGTCTGTCTTTGCATCAGCACAGTCTCAACGAAAAAAAACTTCTCTGGACACTTAACTTATTTTTCTCTAGTGACACAGAGTAGGAAAATAGCCATTTCCTTTGTCCTTTAGCCTCTGTGGTTTCTCTGTCATTGTCTAATGGTGTCTACAAGAGGAACTTGAAAATGATATGAAAGAACAGGATGCATCTGCTGACCATGTCACCCTTCCTCCACCAAATCCTAAAAGCCTAATATGCTATCAGGACTGGGAGAAAATGTAGAATATGTTAGGACAAAATAGTTTGACATAAATGTAGTCCCTCAATACGGCTTAATGCTATAATATGTACATGGATAGTGTGGCCACAGCACTGGTGATTTGCCACGTATGTCCTTACTGATGCAAACTCCTTGATGTTGTTATGGTTGCCATGGTTGAGGCTTGGGGAATTAAGCAATTCATGTGATTTAAAAGCTAAATATGTATTCTAAATTTGTAAGCTCTGACTTCATGCATAACCAAATATTCTGAATTTGGCCAAGCTTTGAATGTGGAAATGGTTAGAATGAGGCTCTTGATATAAGAGAGCAGCAACATGTTCAGTGTCCATTGGTAGATGTCCTGACCACGGCCAGTCACAGATCATGCAAACAGTGTCTCCAGGCAAACAGTTGCTGTGTTCACAAACTTTCTGTCCCCATTGACCTGAACAGACTAGAGGACATGGTGGTGTTTGGCTTCAGAGTGAATGAAGTTGCAGTTGTTTTTTGTCCTGTTTGTGTAAATAAGCTCTTTATTGTAAATCTCTTAAAGGCATGTTTTTGTTGGTTATATAATACATTTGGCAATGGAGTAAATGTGCTTCAGTTATCTGGTACTTTATCATATCTGACCAAGGCCTTTATGGCTTAAAATGAGGTGGGGCACCTTATTGTGGGTAGACACATGTAGTTACACAGTAAAACAATGACAAGCCTGATTTTAAACATCTTTTTAAAAGCCTCAACCTGCCAAAACCAGCCATTTATCTGTGCAGGTGAGAGCCAGTGGCAGAACATTTCAGTCTCCTAGGTTTCACTGTATATAACCTCTTCCTACAGTAGTGGTAGTCAAAGACTTTCTGTTCTGGTCCATCAATGACAATCTTGCAACACACATCCAAGTGCCTCATGTTTGATCTTTTGCACAGTGTATCTTGCAGTGTATCTTTGTAAAGTGGTACCTTCCCTAAGGTGTTCTTTCTCCTCTCACCTCGTGGTGTTTCAATGTATCTAGCCTGTAGCTTGTTGATGTCTGCCTCAAACCCACCAGCAAGCTGATGTGTGGGGCCACATCAAAGCTTTTGAAAGAGATAACATGTCGTGATGTCCGTGTGTGTCTGAGCTAGGTCAACACATGCAGGTTAAAATGTCTGTCTGACTTTTTAAGATGCTGATGATTGTATTAATTGTTGCACTGTAATTCAGTTGTTGGCCAAATTACTTGCTGTCCTTGGACTGTCCTTTGCTTGTTAATACCAACATTTACTGCGCTTTAGCTCCTTATATATATAT